CAAATTCTACTCATATTTAATTCATAAATATTTACATATTCTGTCTGTTGATCTTTCTTGTCTATCCTTTTATCACTGCCATACTATCTTTTTTTTAAAAAATTGTTTAATGGGACCAACAGTTGGTCTAATGGTTATGTTGCTGGACTCCCATGTAGTCAACTGCAGTTTGAGTTCTGGACCCGGTGGCTTAAACTCATGTGAGCACATGTATGTGCATGCCCAGGATCCCGAGAGGGGAATGGAGGAGAAGGGGTTGTGGTGTGGCCATCCCCCCTTGGAGGTGCTTTCTCACTTTCTGTCTCTCTGTCTGTCTCTGTCTTCCTGGAGAGTACATGTGCAATATAGCAAAAACCTCTAAAAGTTATTTAATTTTACTTAATATTATTTTTAATTTGCAATAGGACATATGTACTCACCAGAGAGACAGAATCGCGAGGGTTGTGTGTGTGTGTGTGTGTGTGTGTGTGTGTGTGTGCGTGAGAAAGGAAGCCGCCAGGTCCAGTACTTGAACTGCAGTTGGCCATGTGAAAATACAGTACTTTAACCGCCATGTACCATGCTATTTGCTGGCCCCATTATCTCTATTACTATAGCTTTAACAGTAAACCTAAAAGTCAGGCAAGTTAAATCCACTTTTTTCCCCCTCCTTTTTTGATTCTTTGTCTTTCATCTTTCCAAATAAAATTAAAATCATCTTGTCAGTTTCTGGAAGGAAGCCTTCTGGGCTTTTGATTTATTTATTTATTTTCTAAATAATTATTTATTACATTTTATTTATTTTATGCTACCAGACATTATACTCAACAGAGAGAGACAGAGAGGGAGGGAAAGTGAGAAAGTAAATCACCAGGTCCAGGACCCAAATCATGATTGGCCATAAGAGAGTTCAGTGCCTTAACCCCCATGCCGGCAACCTGCTGGCCCCTAGCCTTCTGATTTTGATTGGATTAAATCTACAGATTAATTTCAGGAGAACCCTTTTTTTTTTTTTTTTTTTTTTGAGAGGTTTTCGCTATAGGGCGCATGCGCTTGCCAGACAGAGAGAGACACAGAGACAGAAAGTGAGAAATCACCCCCCAGAGGGGATGGTCACGCCGCAATCCCTTCTCCATTCTCCTCTTGGGATCTTGGGCATGCATGCACACGCGCCCATCCTGAGTTTTAAGCCACCAGGTCCGGGACGTGAACCACAGTCAACTATGTGGGAGTCCAGCAACATAGCCATTACGCTAACTGCTGGTTCCCAGGAGAACTGATATCTTTAACAAGAGGCTTCTATTCCTTGAACATGGTATATCTCTCCATTTATTTAGGTTTTAAATTTCTCACAGTATCTTATAGTGTTTAGTGTACTAGTCTTGCATATTTCTTGGTAAATATATCTCTACATATTTCATCCTTTTTGCTGCTATTGTAGATTTTTAAAAAGTAAAATTTCACTTGCTAATGCTAATGCTTTTGCTTTAAATGGTTTTAAATTAAAACATGAGAGAAAAGGCCTTGATGTTTTGTGTTAAAATTTTCCTCATTTTTAAAAATTATTCATTCATTTTATTTATTATCATTTAAGTTTGCTGTAGGGCACATGTGCTCACCAGAGAGAGACAGAGAGAGAGAGGGAAAGTGAAAAAGCAAGCCACCAGGTCCAAGATTCGAACCATGGTCAACCATGTGGGAGTCCAGCCAGTGCCTTAACCACCACATCACCTGCTGGCCCCAGAATTTTCCTCATTTTTTGGGGACATGTCTTTCTGGTGTATTTCATAATATGTAGGAGTGTTACTCTTGGCATTTAACTTTTTTTTTTTTTTTTTGAGAGAGATTTTGCTATAGGGTGTTGTGTGCTCGCCAGACAGACAGAGACAGAGACAGAGACAGAAGGCGAGAAATCACCCCTCAGGGGAGATGGCTACGCCGCAATCCCTTCTTCTCCATTATCCTCTCGGGATCTTGGGCATGCACACACACACGCTCGGCATGAGTTTAAGCCACCGGGTCCAGGACTTGAACCGTGGTCGACTACGTGGGAGTCCAGCGACATAGCCATTATGCTAACTGCTGGTCCCGGCATTTTAACTTTTTTATAAAAACTTTGTACAGAGTTGATTTGAATGCTTTTCAGACATTATTCCTTCAATTTTTTTTTTGTCCTTTTCCATTCCCTTCTCTTTGAGATTCCAATTCCTTTTTTACTGTTAATTGTTTTTAAGTGATATATATATTTTTTGGGGGGTACCACTTTTAGATTGAGAAGAGTGTCTAAAATCTCGTTTATTTTCCTCTTACTATTTCTGGTACCATTTGGGTGTTGCTGCTATTGGTGTTTGGCCTCAACTACTCATGTGTGTGGTTCATGAAGGAAATCCAGTCAGTTAGTTGTGTTGTATTTGTTTGCCATGTGTGGATGTTTTTGTTTTATTCTCTTAGGTGCTCTATCTTTTTTGTGGGGTGAGAACCTGGGGATATTAAAACAGCATGCCTTCTTCATTTCCAACTTGCCTAGAATCCTTGTACCTTCTTAAAATGAGTATTATAAATAGATAAAAGAAAACTTTTAAATGATGCGTGAGACTTTTGATTGGTTATGGACTGTGGAGAGCTCTAGAGAGGGAGAGATTGAAAATATAAGAGATTGAAAAACGGATGGGGTATTTCTGTCCTTGAAGTGACCAGAGGGTTTGAATATGAAAGCATTGGTAGAAAGATCAGCTTTGAATAGGGAAAAAAGTTTTTCTGAGGCAGTAGAGGTAAAAGGATGAGGTTGTGTTTAAATGCATTAATTTGTAGGTCTGTAGTTAAGCAGCTGATGGTGTCACATCTGATATCCTCAGTTTTCTTAGTAAACTATAATGTGAGCTTGTTTGCTAGAGAAAGTGAGGTAAGTTTAGATGACTTGAGGAAGGTAGTAGATTTTGGAATGGTATGGTGAAAAAAAAGGAGGCATATCTGATCAGAGACATAGAAATAATTGCTGAATGTTGTTAGGGGCAAATTTAGATTGGCCTTTAGACTATCAGTTTGAAAGATTCCACTTTGGTGATTTTAATTTTTTTTTTTTTTTTTTTTGGTTTAATGTCTCAGTAACTTATATGTAAGAGTAGAGAAGATAGTTCTTGCATTGTCCTAAAATTAGGATTTTAGCAGGACAGGTGTTAGAGTGTAACGAGGGGAATATGTTGCTAAGGCATGATAAAAGAGAGTGATTCAAGGGATATCATGGGGTATAGACTACATAAGGAGGAAATCATATCACTTAGGTGCAGATGGATTGAATAAAAGGGGGAGGATTCAAGGGCATTTAGACTTGTGGTTCTATAGCAAATATGAGTGCAGTAAGACAGTTGAACAGGTGATTGAAGCCAAGGTAGAATATTAGAATTTAAAATTTCAAAACTAGAGGATCCAGCCTTGTGGCCTAATGATTAAGGGAGCTGGATCCCCCATGGCCAAAGAACAAATCCTTGCCCCAGTGGCTTGAAAAACATGCCAGGCATGTGTGTGTGCATGCCCCAAATCCTTATGAGATAGAGAAATAGAGAAGAAGGGACTGTAGAGTGACCATGCCCCATTGGAGGTGCTTTTTATCTCTCTCCCTTTCCTTCTCTTTCTGGTGAGCACAGATGCCCTATGGCAAATAAAGAAAAATAAAGAAAACAGAAAAATAAAGAGCTAAAGCAGTTCTAGCTTATTGTAAAGAACACATTAATTATATTTGTGAGAATGAAAAAAATACTGGGTTATAAGAAATGCAGAAAGAGTATGTCATGATACATACTATAGTTTATTACAGGTAAAGAAATCATCTATGGTGGTGGCAAGGGTTGATACGGGAAAGTATGAGCCAGATCTGTAAACTGGGAGATCAGTAAAGTTCGGGGTCAGGTCTGTGTTAGAAGAATGGAGAGGGAGGGTAGTTTGCACATAAATGGAAGAGTAGTGATTTCTAAAGGTTGCTATATTTGGTATTTGTGATGTGGATACCAAGGGTTGGCAAATTTCTTTAAAGGGCCAGATAGTAAATATTTTAGGTTTTGCCAGTCATACATGGTTTCTTGTTTATTTTTAAAAAAATCTTGGTTGTTTATTTTTATAACTCCTTAAAATGTAAAAACCATTCTTTGCTCATGAGCTATATAAAAAGTGACCAAGGATTGTAGTTTGAACCCATAGTTTATACTCATGAATTATCTGTAGTCATACTTTTCTGTGACTTGTAAGTGATATTTTACTTTATAAAATTTATATGTAGGTTTAAAAATTATTCCCTATCTGTACTCTAGTAACAATCTTTGTAGTATAAATGGTTAAGATAACATTTATTTATTTATTTTTAGGAAGATAAAAGGCATACAAATCTTTATTAAGAAAAGGCATATGGTTATACAAGCATACACATTTGTATATAGGAGCTATGCAAAATATAAACTTAAAGAAGGGCTGAGTGAGTGGAAGTTTAATACAGTACAGCAAGGGTCCCCAATCCCTTGGGCCCACAGACCAGTGCCTGCTGTCCCCAACCCTGTACAGCACATAGTGGGGAGTAGGGAAGGAAGTGAGGTTCGAAGCAAGGCTTCCTCTCTTTGCAACTGCTCCCTGTCAGTCAGTGGTATTGCTGCCTGGGCTCCATCTCACAGGATGGCAAACCATGTTGTTTGATTGTGTATTGCTGTATGGAGTGGTGGAAATGGGATGCACAGTGAATGTGGTGTGCTGTGGTGTGCTTGGGTAATCCCAGGTCCAGTTCCTGTTTCCCCTGCCTCATCCATGGAGAAATTGTCTTCTACCAGGCCTGGTGCTGGGAAGGTTGTGGACTGCTGTAATACAGACAGGCTTGGAGCTAAGTTGTGAAAGAATGAGGAGAGCATATGCAAAGATGCAAAGTAGAAGATAATACATATTTTAAAAATATTGTCATTAAAATTGATTTATATATTTCAATATGATAATTTTACATTTCTGAACAAAATTTTAACTTTTGTTTTGGTGGTGAATTCAAGTTGAGTCAGCAGATACTGGAGTTATTTGAAATATGTCAGCAGCAAATAAGTGATTTAAAGAAGAAAGAACTCTGTCGAACACAGCTACAGAGAGAAATTCAGCTACTATTTCCACGTATGTTTCCCTGTTTTGCATACCTTTTATGTATATGAATTTTTCTTTTAAATTTTAAATAATATCTTACAGTTTTCTTCTGTTTTTCTAGAAAGCAGACTCTTTTTGGTTGGCTCTTCTTTAAATGGATTTGGTACTCGGAGTAGTGATGGAGATTTATGCTTAGTTGTTAAGGAAGAACCAGTAAGTAATGAAATGTTTATTCCAAGTATGTTGCTTATATTTAGTTATTTAAGAAATTTCATGTAAAAAGTCATTAAAGAGAAGAACTTGCTTTAATTTGTTCTTTGGATTTTCTGTTTAAAGAACTGTGCCTCTAGTTTGAAAAATCATTGAGTTGAATGTGTGATCAGGATGCAGCAAAAAGAGCTCCTGGCTTATCTTGATGCATTTCCTTTCCATTTGAATTCTCTGTGATTCTATTTTAATCTTTTTTTTTCCCCCTGAAAATGCTTGTCTGGGATTCTTATTGTGGGAAAACAAGATTTCATGGAAATTTATAACACTATTGTGATTATTTATTTATTATTAACTTTGTCACAGGGCACACATTTGCCAGAGAGAGACAAAAAAGAGGGAGAAGGAGAGTGTACCCCTAGTGATGTGTGGTCATGCCACAATCCCTTCTCCTTCATTTCTCCACCCTGATGGGATTTTCAGCCTGCTCACACATGTGCCTGCTGTTTTTTTTTTTTTTTTTGAGAGATTTGCACTATAGGGCGCGTGCGCTCACCAGACAGACAGAGATAGACAGAGAGACAGAAAGCGAGAAATCACCCCCCAGGGGGGATGGCCATGCCGCAATCCCTTCTCCTCCATTCTCCTCTCGGGATCTTGGGCATGCACGCACACATGCCCGGCATGAGTTCTAAGCCACCGGATCCGGGACGCGAACTGCGGTCGACTATGTGGGAATCCAGCGACATAGCCATTAGTAAGCTAACTGCTGGTTCCTGTGTTTTTCAAGCTGCCAGAGCTGGGATTTGAACCTTATGGTCAGCCCTATGGGGTTCAGCTGCCTTAACCTCTAGACCATGAAACCAGCCCTACTGTGACTTATTAGATGTAATATATTTTATCTGATTTTGTTTTTATTTTTATATAGCAAGCTAATTGTGTTATTTAAATGTATTATGCTTAATTCAGTTTCTTGTTAACTGATACTCTTGTGTGTTCCTTAATACCATAATAAATGGTGTTCATTAAACTGACCTGAAGCAACCTCTTTAAGATGCTGAGGTCTTTTCTGAGCTACCAAAGATAAAAATTGAGTTCAGTATAAATTGGTTTATTATGCCCTATATTTTTTAAAGTAGGGAAAAAAAAATCTATTGAATAATTTTATATTTTTACTATTCATATTATTTCACTAAACAAAAATGATTTCTAGTTACCATAAATCAGAAAGATTTATTCTATAAGTGAAATTGGTATTTTTCTAGGGTTTCAAATTATATAAAGGAAAACTAAAACAAAACAAAGTAATCCTCAAATTATAAACATAGAGAGTACAACAGATTTAGTTAAAACCTTTCTCATGTAATTAGACTGTACTTAGGTACATCTCATTAATCCTCCAGTCTCATTCACATGCCGGAATCATGTTGTTATAGCTTATATTGATACTTAGACATCATAATATGAACTCTTTTTAAGCAGCTCACAATCTAGATAGGGAAATAAGACATGTTATAGGAAGTTAAAATTCTGGGACCAGCAATTAGCATAATGGCTCTGTCACTGGACTCCCATGGAGCTGATGCGGTTCAAGTCCTGGTTCTGGTGGCTTAAGCTCATGCTGGGCGCATGTGTGTGCGTGCCCAAGATGCCAAGAGGAGAATGGAGGAGAATGGATTGCAGCATGGCCATCCCCCCGGGGGGGTGATTTCTCGCTTTCTGTCTCTCTCTCTCTGTCTTTCTGGTGAGCATACGTGCCCTATAGCAAAAACCTTTCCAAAAAAGAAAGTTAAAATTCTTTTTATATTTTTGTTAGAGAAGATTACTTCTTGTAATTTTATATTGAAGGGACAAAATGACATGTATGGTTGTTTTAAAAGTTTTTTTAAAAAATTATGCTTTAAGTTTAAAATTAGGAATTGACAGGGCCAGCAGATGGTATAGTGGTTAAAATGCTGGACTCCCACATGGATGACCGCCTTTTGAGTCTTGGGCCCAGCAGTTTGGAAATCACTGGGTGCGTGTCCATGCATGCTCAAAATTATAGGAGGAGAACAGAGCAAAAGAGATTGTGGCATGGCCATCTCCGTTAGGGGATGATTTCTTAATTTCCCTCTCACTGTGTCTCTCTCCTCGCTGGTAAGTGTATGTGCCCTATGGCAAAAACCTTAAAAAAAATTAGAAATTGACTTCGAAATGTGGATGTAAGGGACCAGCAGTTGGCATAATGGTTACGTCGCTGGACTCCCATGTAGTCAACCGTGGTTCAAGTCCTGGACCCAGTGGCTTAAACTCACGCTGGGCGCGTATGTGTGCGTGCCCAAGATCCCAACAGTAGAATGGAGGAGAAGGGATTGTGGCGTGGCCATCTCCCCTGGGGGGTGATTTCTCGCTTTCTGTCTCTGTCTTTCCAGCGAGCGCACACGCCCTATAGTAAAAACCTCTTCAAAAAATAAATTAATTAATTAAAATTTGACCTTTTATATAATGTAATTTAGTTTATATTGAAAAATAACTATAAAGAAGTATGCGTTGTATTTTTGTTGTTGTTGTTGAGATATTTTAAGAAAATGAAAGAGTAAGCTTGAAAAAAATGAAAAAAAACTTTATTTTTAACTTTTCGGTGTTCCTCCCCTGCCCCCCGCAGGTAAATCAGAAGACTGAAGCACGGCATATACTCACCTTAGTCCATAAACACTTCTGTACTAGACTTTGTAAGTCTAAATGCCTCAAATTTATGTCATCTGAAATAATTATTAAAAATGTTTCTTTCTTGGGACCAGCAGTTGGCATAATGGCTATGTCGCTAGACTTCCATGTAGTTACTGCGGTTCGAGTCTCGGACCCGGTGGCTTAAACTCATGCTGGGCGCATGTGCGTGTGTGCCTAAGATCCTGAGAATAGAATGGAGGAGAAGGGATTGCGGTCTGGCCATTCCCCCCAGGGGGTGATTTCTCGCTTTCTGTCTCTGTCTGTCTTTCTGGTGAGCGCATGTGCCCTATAGCAAAAACCTCTCAAAAAAAAAAAAAAGTTTCTTTCTTTATTTTCTGGTAAGAATGATTTATTTTCTTATCAGGATAGGTGTAATGATAAAATTCTTTTTCTTAAATGAGTTCCTTTTTCTTTTGATTAAAAAGAATAATGATCATTTATTCATTAAATCTTTAGTAAGCTTCCTTCCCAGATTTGTAGTGAAGATTTAGGGGGATTCAGATATAAAAGCTTCAGTTCTTTATCTTAGAAGGTTACAGACCATTAGGGAAACTAAGGCATAAATAAAATAGTTGTAGAGTATCTGTGAAAAACCACAGAATCTCAGGTATTCATGTGAGGGAGAGAGAATTTCATCTGTTCTGTAATGAAATGTCTCCTTACTTGTTTTAACAATATTGGGTCCAGGGACCAGCAGATGGCATAATGGTTACATTGCTGGATTCCCACATAGTTGGCCATGGTTCGAGTACCAGACCTGGTGGCTTAAAATTTACACTGGATGCGTGTGCCTGCCTGCCCAAAATCCCGAGAAGAGAAGGGAAATGTGGCGTGGCCATTCTGCTGGGGGTGATTTCTCACTTTCTGTCTTTGTCTCTCTGGTGATCACATGCACCCTATGGCAGAAATCTCTCTTAAAAAAGTAAAAATAAGGGACCAGCAGTTAGTGTAATGGCTATGTCATTGGACTCCCATGTAGTCGACCGCGGTTTGTGTCCCGGACCCGGTGACTTAAAACTCACGCCGGGCGCGTGTGCGTGCGTGCCCAAGATCCTGAGAGGAGAATGGAGGAGAAGGGATTGCGGCATGGCCATCCCCTCTGGGGGTGATTTTTTCGCTTTCTGTCTCTCCGTCTCTCTCTGTCTAGCGAGCGCGTGCGCCCTAAGGCAAAAACCTCTCCAAAGAAAAAAAAAATAATTAAAAATAAAAATAATTGGGGCCAGGAGATGGGGTAGCGGTTATGCTGGTGGACTCTCACATAGCCAACTGCAGTTTGAGTCCTGGACCCAGTGGCTTAAAACTCACAACAGGCGTGTGTGTGTGTGTGTGTGTCCAAGATCCTGAGAGGAGAGTGGAAGAGAAGGGATTACAGTGTAGCCATCCCTCGAGGAGTGATTTCTCACTTTCCTTCTTACTGTCTGTCTCTCTCTCTTTGGTGAGTGCACGTACCCTAAGGCAAAAGCCTCTTTAAGAAAATAATAAATAACTTGAGTTCTTTTTCAGATATGCCAGGCTTCAAAGCCTGACTCCTACTAATTACGAAGAAAAAAAAAAATGACCACTGAACATGATGAGGTCCGAGTGTATTACTCCAACAGAAAACACTTATTGTTGACTTATGCTGTATTATTACAAGATTTTATTCTTTGAATAAGCTGACTATAAACAGATTCTAATTCACATGTTAAACTGTCTCAAATAACTTGGTTTTATCTTCTAAAGTGTTCTAGAAATTTGAAGTCACACTAACTGATGTTGGAAAGACGTTTATCCATTTATTTAGTAGATACTCATTATGGGCCAGGTTTCGAGCTGGAAAATACAAAGTGAAGTAACAAGTTAACTATCCTTGACTAACTTCTATCTGTTATAGGAGAGGGAAAAGAAAGGACTGTAGCATAAAGGATTTTTAATAAATTCTTAGAATTAAAAAAAATATTAAAAATGGACAGGATCTTAGAGATCATGCAATCACTTTCAATTGAATATATATTTTTAAAAAGTTTGATGGAATTAAGAATGTGTGTGTGTGTGTGTGTATAAAAATATATATACACATATGTATATGTATATATATGTGTCCGTGTTTCCTCTTGAAGCTCACACTTATCTGAACGTGTCCCTGCCCCATGTATTGTATTGTGTTGAAAGCATTTCCACTTTAGACTTTTTTTTTTTGGGGGGGGAGAGGTTTTTGCTATAGGTCGTGTGCGCTTGCCAGAGAGACAGAGAGATAGAAAGCAAGAAATCACCCCCCAGGGAGGATTCTCCTCTCGGGACCTTGGGCACGCACGCACACGTGCCCGGCATGAATTTTAAGGTCTGAGACTTGAACCGCAGTCGACTACATGGGAGTTTAGTGACATAGCCATTACGCTAACTTCTGTTCCCTTAGACTCTTTATAAATGTGATTTCTGTGACTGCTGTAATTCCTTACTTTGTACTGTATCAGAATGCAGCTGTCCCCTTGCTGCTTGACTACTTTTTGCTCTTAAAATGTTTCAATAAGCTACTTTGTAGATGCTATTATACTTTAGAGCACATGTCTGAAAATAACCTATACAGATCCTCCAGTCTTAGAACAATTTGATAATGTCCTCACATCTTTGCTTTCTTTCTCAAAGACATTTTATTAAATTGTTTTTAGCTTAGTGCAATACTATTTTAAAAAATGTACATTAGAACATTATGAGTTTGAGGACATTTGCTCATATTCACATTATCTTTTATCCTTTAGCTGGCTACATTGAGAGACCTCAGCTGATTCGAGCAAAAGTGCCAATTGTGAAGTTCAGGGATAAAGTCAGGTAAATAACTACTAAGCTTTTATTTTTTTTAGTTGCTTTACATCATTTTTAGATATTTATATGATAATAGATAATTAAGAAACGTATGCTGTAGTGAACAGCTTATCATCATCTGTGTTTAGAAGCCACTCAACTTGGGGCCAGCAGGTGGTGTGGTGGTTGAGGTGCTGGACCTCCATGTAGCTGATCACGGTTCAAGTTCTGGACTTGGAGACTTGCTTTCTCACTTTCTCTCTGTCTCTCTCAGGTCAGGTTAAAAATAAATAAATAAAATAAAATACAATAATTAAAAAAATAAACCACTCAACTTCATCTTTGAAATAATTTTTAAAACTAGTCGGAGTAATTCTTCTTCATGCTTAACTGTATTTAATTATTGTGTTTATCATTTTGCATATTTGAGACTAATTTAAAACTATATATACACTTTGGGGCTAGCAGGTGGTGTGGTGGTTAAGACATTGGGCATCCCACATGGCTAACTATGATTGGAGTCCCGGACTTGGTAACTTGCTTTCTTGCTTTCCCTCTCTTTCTCTCTGCGTCTCTCTCTGTGTCTCTCTGGTCAAATTAAAATAAATGAACGAATAAATAAAAATTAAATAATTTTAAAAACTATTGTGTATACTTTTATATTTTAGGTTTTAAAAAAAGTTTATTTCTTACGTCAACAAGAGAAATAGAGAGGCAGAGAACCAGCACCCCCAATAGGATCTTGCCATGATCTACTCATCAGCCTAAGCCATCCTTGGTTTACAGACAGGGACATGAATGTGGAAGGTTTCTGGATATGAACCCAGAACCTTTCCATGTGAGTTAACCTTGCAGAGTGTTGAATTTGTTTTACTGCTATGTCACTGTCTGGCCTCTATATTTTAGAATTTTAAATTATCTCTTGCCTCTTGACAATATAGTGCATTTTTTTTTTTAAGTGAGATTTTTGCTATAGGGCATGTGTGCTGCTTGCCTGGAGGTATAGAGACAGAAAGCAAGAAATCACCTCCCAAAGGGGATGGCCACACTGCAGTCCCTTCTGCTCCATTCTCCTCTTGCGATTTTGGGCATGCATGCACATGTGCCTGGCATGAGTTTTAAGCTGCCCGGTTGGAGACTTGAACTGTGGTCAGCTATGTGAGAGTCAGTGACAGAACCATTATGCCATCTGCTGGTCCCTGTAATACATTCTTAATAACATTTTTTTAACTTTATGTATTTATTTTTTCCATGAGTGAAATAGAAAAACAGCATCCCCAAAAAGGTCCTGTCACCATGACCCATCCTAGCCCCAGGTAATGGGGTATGCATGTATCTGGCATACTTAGGGAGTACTCTAGTTGTGAACCTAGAACCTTCATATTTGAGGTAGCCTTGCAGAGCATTGCATTATTATTTTTTTTTTTGAGAGTTTTTTTGCTATAGGGCGCATGTGCTATATAGGGTGCATATGCTCACCAGAAGGAGAGAGACAGAGAGACAGAAAGCAAGAAATCACCCCCCAGGGGGGATGACCAGCGCCATCCCTTCTCCATTCTCCTCTCGGGATCTTGGCCATGCACACACATGCGCTCGTTGTGAGTTTAAACCACTGGGTCCGGGCCTTGATCCGTGATCAGCTACATGGGAGTCCAGCGGCATAACTATTACACTAACTGCTGGTCCCCGGAAAACGTTTTTAATTGCAGGCTATTTTCTACCATGTTTTATCTTGTGTTGAGTTATTGTGAAGGAAGTGTAAACTGGCTTCAGTGTTAGACAAACGCAATTAAAGAACATAACTCTGGGGGCCGGCACGTGGCATGGTGGCTAATGCACTGGACTCACACGTGGCTGACCAAGGTTTGAGTTCCAGACCTGGCAGCTTGCTTTCTCTTTCTGGTGAGCCCTATGGCAAATTAATTATAATAATAATAGTAGTAGTAGTAGTAAATGAAATTAAATAATTCTAGAAAAGAGGAAATGCTATCTCAGTGGAAAAAAAAAAGAATGTAATTGTTGTTTCTATTTCCATAAGTTTTTCAAAGCCAGATAGGTATGATATCTAAAGTGTTCATATCACTCTCTGTATTTATTAATAGTATGGATAATGGAAAGATTATAAAATTCACTTGGTTACCCAGAACAGTAAAACCTGAAGTAGTAGATTTAAAATATCAATTAAAAGCTATAGAAAAGAATTTTAAGTTTTTGTTTTAGTCAATCTTTTTTTTTTTTTTTGACTGCATACTTGCCAGAGAGATGGAGAAGGAAAGAAAGAAATCATCCTCCTGCAGTGGGGCATAATATATCATTATCCTTCTTCTTCCATTCCGTTAGGATTTGGGGCATGCGTGCAAATGAACCTGGTGTATTTTTCAAGCTATGGGGCTTAGACTCGAACCACGGTTGACCATCTGATATCTGGCTTCCTATAACTAGTGTTTAACTAATGTGCTATAGGGGCAGCAGCCCTTAGGCAGTGTTTTATAGGAAAATTTAGTGTTCATTAGTTAGACCGCATGCTTTATAGGTATAAACAGAACTGACTTTTATAATGTAGTTTTTTAATGAGTTGAGAATTTGTTATTTCTGGGCTGGCAGTGGTGGCAAATAATAGTATGATATTCTGCGATGCCTTACCTGAATGGGAAATCTTGGGTTTGTGTCTGGAGGTCTCACTATATGTACTGGGCTGAGGGTGAGGATGGATTGCAATGTGAGGGCATTGTTGGAGGTGCCTAAATCTGTCTCTCTGTCCCCTGTTCCCTGTCTTTCTCTCTAAACTAAACTAAACTAAAGCTAGGAAGCTAGGAGTAAAATAATAAAAAATGAAAATAAATAGAGTTTCTTTTGTGGCAATTGGAGCCTTACAGATCTTTCTTTTTTCTTTTTTTTTTTTTTTTTATAGAGATTTTTGCTATAGGGTGCACATGTTTGCTAAAGAGACACTGAGAGACTAAGAAACAGAAAGCAAGAAATAACTCCCCAGGAGGGATGACCATGCCACAATCCCTTCTCCATTCTCCTTTAAAGATTTTGGGTACACACAAATACCTGGCATGAGTTTTAAGCCTGCCAGTCTGGAACTCAAACCGTGGTTTTACTTGGGAGTCCAGCAACATACATAACCATTATGCCACCTGCTGGTCCCTACATTATAGAACTTTTTTTTTTGAAAGAGAGATTTTCACTATAGGGCGCGTGCGCTCGCCAGACAGAGAGAGACATAGAGACAGAAAGTGAGAAATCACCCCCCAGGGGGGATGGTCATGCCGCAATCCCTTCTCCTCCATTCTCCTCTCGGGATCTTGGGCACGCACGCACACACACCCGGCGTGAGTTTTAAGCCACCGGGTCTGGGACGCGAACCGCGGTTGACTACGTGGGAGTCCAGCGACATAGCCATTACGCTAACTGCTGGTTCCCTAGAACTTTTAATAACACCAGATCACATGAAAATGACATACTGAATATATATTTACCCTATTACTTTAGCACCTTATTTTTGGTTTTTTAAACAGGGCTCGCTGTCATGATCCTTTTGCCTCAGCCTCCTGAGTAGCTGGGACTACAGGTGCACGCTGTCATGCCTGGCTTTTAGGGTGATGTTGGAATCAATCCTGAACCTCCCGTGTGACCTCAGTCTGTTAAATAGTAGCATCTACCAAAGTGCACTACTGTGGCTAGGACTTGTGTCTCACTTTAAAAACATAGATCTAGGCCTGGCTACAAAGGTGCAGTGGTAGCATGCTGCTCCATGATGCTGAAGCCATATGAAAGACGGGTTCTGTTGGGAGGCTGCAGAGAGGATTGCAGCGTAAAACTGTTGAGGATGCTTGTTTCTCTCTCTCTTTCTGTCTCTCTGACTCCCTCGTTCTCATGAAATAAATAAATAAACTTAAACAAGTAAACACTGATCTATGGCCTTTTGTCCTATGCTATTTTGTATATGGACAAGCATTAATTTACTTAGAAGGGAAGGAGTTTGCATTTGAACTAAAATTTACTTTATTTATTTTAAAATAGTTGTATGGAGTTCGACTTGAATGTAAACAATATTGTTGGGATAAGAAACACATTCCTTCTCAGAACTTATGCATACCGTAAGTTTTTGGTTTATTTCCAAATAATTATGAGTTTCTGTTTTTCCTTTATTCGTTATTCCTTTTTAAAGATGTTTGTAATGAGTAGCATTTATAATGGTTGCATTTATGTCTTATTTTATTCTTTTCACTTTTTGTTGCTATACCAAAATCATATACTACTAGACTGATAGGTATTCAAGTACATTTTAATAAATTTTAAAAGTAACTAAGATGAGTTTTAGAAGAAAATCACATCAATAGTGAACCCAGTGTTTAGTATATGGGGAGGTAATGCTCTTTTATTGGCACAGAGTTGAGAAATGATGTAAAATTTCAAGAAACTGTTAATATTTTCCTACTGTTTTTAAGTATTAATTTTACTTTCAGTTGAAAATCGGGTTCGTCCATTAGTGCTGGTGATTAAGAAGTGGGCGAGTCACCACGAGATAAATGATGCCAGTCGTGGTACTTTAAGCAGCTATAGTCTTGTACTGATGGTTTTGCACTATTTACAAAGTAAGTATTATGGTTTTTTTTCCCAGTCTTTGAAACTGAAATGCAGTAAACTTTATTATGGTATCTTTCGTGTTGACCCTATCTTCAGGACTGTTTCAAACAGTTCTTCTACAGTGTATAAAATCTGTATTTCCTATTTTGTTGCTTTGAACAGGTGTTTTAGAAATATTATTCCCTTTAGAAATTTTATGAAGAAGTTTCACTGCGCTTTTAGTTTTATTGACAGCTTTGCTTATCTACTAAATATCAGCTTTTGTATATCAAAGAATTTTCACTGTGTAGACCCATTATCTTGAGGCAGATGAATGTTCAGAAGACCTATAAGAATAAGCTCAAGTACTATTCATCATGTTTTGAGACAGTAATGAAATGATTTTCATGTTGGCCAAAGAAACTTAATCCCCATAGGCTGACCTGCCCGCCCTCCCACTCCGACTAGATTTGATCATTACAGGACTATTTTAGATTGACCCGCTAATTTTAATTCAATCCAGTTTGTAAGGCCTTTTCAGTAAAAGCCATACTTTTGACTCATGCATTGTGACAAACAGTAATAAGTAGACACTTATAATTTGTGGCTTCTGTAAGATGGGAATGAGAATTTTTATGATTTTAAAAATTCCCTAGAAACACAGCACAGATATGATTGAAACCTTTACTTTCATATTTAATAATCTCATTTACATATAATCCAAGAAATAACATGTAAGCTGCTGTATACATTCTACTTAGCTGGACACTAAAAACTTAAAAATGGGTGCATGTACTGTTTTGTAGCTTTTAGATGAGCAGTCTCAGATGTTTAATGACTGACCAACGAACTGATCATATTTATATCTGGTGGAAATAAGATCAAGTGGAAGATTTGATATTTGTAGTAGTAGACCTTTTATTAGGATGTCTAGCATCTGATCTGTTTCTGGATTGATGATATGTCCAGAATTTAGAATCTTGGTTTCCAAAGATTGTAGTAATAAGGGAAACACATGTTTTAGCATATACATGGTCTTCAAAAACCTCATGGAAAATGCATTTTATGAAGAAACTATGCGTGTATTTAAAAAATTGTTTTTGGTACTGATATAAATTTGTATGTTAATTTCATTATTCTATGAATGTTTTTATGCCAGAGGGTGCATGCCAGAGAGAGAAAACTCCTCTGAGTAGGATCTAGTCACACTGCAATGCTTTTTCCTTTATTCTGCCATCCCATCAGGATCTTGGGCATGTACACACATGTGCCTGGCATGTTTTTCATACCATCAGTGCTGATGTTCAGACTGTGGCTGCCCATGTGGAACATGGCTCCACACAGTGCTTAACCACTGTGCTATGGGGCTGGCCTTGCACAGATTTTTTGTTTTCTTTTTTTTTATTGCTAGAGATGTGCGCTAGCCAGAGACAGACAGAGAGGGGGAGAAAGCAGCCACCAGTGGGATGTGATCACAACACAACTTGTCTCTTCCATCTCTCCATCTCATTAGCATTTTGGGTATTCACACACTCATGCCCAGCATGTTATGCAAGCCACCAGGCCTGGACTTGAACTACGTTGACCATATGGTATCTAGTTCCCTTAACTATTGCCTCCACAGACTTTTTAAAGTGCTCTCATATACTACGTGTTTGTTCATTCCATGACTATTTTTTGAGTGTCTATTAAGTAAATGCTAGATATTGCTCTGGGAATTCAATGAACAAATGGGAGAACAATTATTTTCTTCATGAAACTTACATTCTATACAAGAGGAACTTACCATTTTGACAGCTGTTACCTAGCAAAACATGAATCATTAAATAACTGTGGTTACTATCAATAAAATGTGATCTTTTTACTACCTTTATGTGAATTGAGCTACTAATAGATCACTATCAGCATATCACATGCTCTGTAACAGATTATTTAATTATTGTAATGCAGTGATTAAGAAAAATGCCTACTTTAAAATGTCCTTTTATTACATCATTTGGTGCTTTTAGATATAGATTCTAAGGAAGATAGCAGAGCAGATATTGGTAATTTGTCAAAGACAGCAAAAAACAAAGACTTAGAAAGCTGAGTTGATTTGGTACCCCACTGCAGTTTTTCTGTACAGAGGATATTAGGAACTAGGAAAAGGAGTAGACTTATTTTTCTTGGAATGTAGATCAGAAATCATCAGAGTTGGGGAATACAGTTTTGAATAACATTATTCCTGGGAGACTATACTTCTTTGGATAGGTATTGGAGGAACGATGCCAAGTAGAGAATTTGTTACTTTTACTGATTGGAGTGTAGAAGTGCTTAGGGACAGAAGAGAAGATTGTCATACCAGCGCCTCAAGAAAAGAGCAGATCAGGGCCACCAGATGGCATAGAGGTTAAGGCAGCTTGATCCAACATGGCTGACTATGTGCTTCAAGTCCTAGACCTGAAAACATACCAGATGCTTGTGTGCACATGCCCAAAATGCTGAGAGGAGAATGGAGGAGTAAGGATTGTGGTGTGGCCAACTCCCTTGGCGGGGGGGGGGTACTTTTCTTACTTTCTCTTTCTGTCTCTCTCTTTCTTTCTGTCTCTAGCAAGTGCATGTCCTGTAACAGAAAATAGTGGAGCATTTAAGGGGTTAAATGGGCTGTCAGGAATTCTCTGACTTGAAATATCTTTCTTAGATAAGTAATTATTTGCAATAAATGATTATAGACAAAATAGTTCTCAGTTATTCAACTAGTTTTTCAATCATTAGAAACATGAGTGAAATTCTTGGTTACATATTGAATTTTGTTATTTTATTTCAGAATTACTAAGTTCAAAATGATTTTTAAATGCCAGAGACCTCAATTCTTCTAATTCCAAATTTTTGGACAAATGCCTAACTGTAATTAGTGAGGGAGGGGTATTTTCCTCAACAAAAACATCATTTCTTTTTCCTTTTTTTTTATTGCCAGAGGGCACGTGTGCTCTCCAGTGAGAGTATTCCCCAATAGAGTGTGGTTGTATCAGTCCTTTTTCTTCCATTTCTCCATCCCATCAGGGTTTTGGCCATGTATGCACATATGTCCAATGTGTTTTTCTTTTTCTCATTTTTGTTGTATCAGTCCTTTTTCTTCCATTTCTTATCCCATCAGGGTTTTGGCCATGTATGCACATATGTCCAATGTGTTTTTCTTTTTCTCATTTTTAAAAAAACTATTGGGACCAGCAGTTAGCGTAATGGCTATGTCGCTGGACTCCCACGTAGTCGACCGCAGTTCGAGTCCCGGACCCGGTGGCTTAAACTCACGCGTGTGCGCGCGTGCCCAGGATCCCGAGAGGAGAATGGAGGAGAAGGGATTGTGGCGTGGCCATCCCCCCTGGGGGGTGATTTCTCGCTTTCTCTGTCTGTCTGGTGAGCGCATGCGCCCTATAGCAAAAACCTCTTCAAAAAAAAAAAAACTATTTTATTTATTATTAGTTTTAATTTGACTAGAGAGAGACAGAGAATGAAAGGGAAAGTGAGAAAGCAAGCCTCAGGTCTGGTACTCAAACCACAGTCAACTTTATAGGAGTCCAGCGCCTCAACTACCGTGCCACTTGCTGTTCCCCATTGTGGTTTTCAAGCTACTGGGGCCAGGATTCAAGCCACAGTCAACAACCTGGGATCTGGCTCCCTATGTTTAGGTCTTAACTGCTACTCTGTGGGACATTGTTTTCTTAAATAGTGTTTTTAACATTTTCTTTGACCTGTGTATTATGGTATAATTTTTAGACATTTAGATTTCAGGAAATAGTAAAATTAAAAAACAAAACAAAACAAAACCTATCTAGAGTTTTTATTTTACTAGCTATCAGAACCAAAAAGTGCTACCGACCGTTACCATGATTTCATAAAAGATGTTGCATGTTAGCATTAATAAAGTAAGGATAGACTTTCAGAATGGATAGATTATCCCAAAACAGAAAACCTTGTTAACCCCTCCCCACCTCTGACACATAGATAGACGGACAGAAACACACACACTTAATACTTTTTTTTCTCTTCCTATTTTGCTGTAGGGCTCATGTGCTCACTGGGAACAGACAGAGACAGAGGGAGATGCAAAACAAAAAATTCCCCTAGGGAGATGGGCAAACTGCAATATCTTCTCCTCCATTTTCTCTCAGTATTTTGGGCATATGCACACATACACATCAGGTATGTTTTTCTTTTTTTTTTTTGGAGAGGTTTTCGCTATAGGGCGCGTACGCTCGCCAGAAAGACAGAGAACGACAGAGAGATAGAAAGCGAGAAATCATCCCCCAGGGGGGATGGTCACGCCACAACCCCTTCTCCTCCATTCTCCTGTCAGGATCTTGGGCAC